ATATATATGTGTGTGTATTTACTATGATGACAAGAGCTATGACGACAATTACACAACTATAAATAATGAAACAATTAGGGTTTAAAATCAACTTACCAGCATTTCCTTTCATTAGCTGGTGAAGTTTTTTGACAGCATCAACACTGACATCATAATCTAATGCATCAGCATTCACAAGGCAGTAAGTCTTCACATTGTTACCATTCAATGCTCGTCGCCACAACAACACAACCTGGCAAGGCAAATTCATTTAATTTGTAATTAAGATTACATAATTTGTAAGTTGAAGATTTGTACATATACTGCAATATGTCTGCTCCACAAACATGCTGTTTCAGCTAAAAAAAAAATCTAAAATGCTCTAAAGACATATTTACAAAAGGCTGACACAGCAACAAAAATATCTTGCCTGGCAGTGCAATCCATTTCCATATGCACAATAATGGTCATTATTTATGCATAATTTATGGTTTTTGATCTCGAGTCTGATTAGGGCATACTTATAGTAGCTTGGGAAGAACACTCTCCTCCCTCCAACCCCTTTGGGCTTTGCTCTTTGACTGCTGTTTAGAAGCAAATTTTTGACTTAATATTATACTCTAGCTCAACCATTGCATGGCAACTATCGTTGCCATGCATGCATCACAACATCAAGCTTTAGTTCTTTACAATTAATCTAACCTCTTCAAGAGTTGTTTTTGAATTGCACAGCAAAACCTCATCATAGGCTGGCAAATTTCCATTGCCTTCCATGTAGACTGACAACACAGTATGCAGTACATCTCCTGTAATACAACGTATTAATGAAAATTCATGAATTCACAAAAAAAAACCGGAGATCTCTCATAAAAATTGCCAAATCTCTCTTTCTTTCTTTAGATCAGAGTGCAATGAGGCATTCACAATACCTCCCACACAAGTAAGTTTACCTTCCTAGCATATGCCAGGTACCCATTTATTTATATACTCTTAAGACCAGTGAGACAAACATACATAAAATCTTTAGCTTATGGGCACAAACAATTTGCAGAGCTAGGATTTCCGGAGCCCAGATCTTAAACACTTCCATATAGTAATGGAAAATAAATGTGTGTGGGGTAAAAACGTGTGCACATTGCATCCTTTTGAACAACTAATATATAAAATATTACTTACTAGCTGGGCAAACAATGAGGTTAGGATGCCCTTTTGCAAGATATTGAGGGAAACTTCTAGCAGGGGCTTGACAATCTGAAATGTAAAAATAACACTTTTAGACATCAAAATGTTAGCAATAAAAAAAATTCAATTAATCAATCAGTATTAAGCTTTATCATTGTTGAGTTTTAGTTGACAAAATACTTAAATAAATGCTACAAAAAATATACAATTTCAAATAACCCATACATACCAGGAGCAAGATGTTTCAAAAGCTTTCCTAGCGTTTCAACACTGACATAGTCAGAAAGATCAGCAGATTTTGTTGAACTCAAGTAGTTCTTCCAGAGATAGTTCAGTTTTCCAATAAGAGTCCTAGGAGAAAATTATAAATTAAAATGTGTTAACAACAAAAAAAATATATGTCTATGCTCCTCTGTATTGCTTGTTCTACAAAAATGCCTGTCTGTTTACCATCAGTGGCAGTATGTGCTCAACCTCAACATCAGTGGTGGCGCCAGGACCTGCCCGACGGAGGGGCTAAAGGCCCCGAAGGGGGGGGGGGCTAGTGGAGCGAATCGAGTCTCACTTGGCTGGGGCCTGCCTAGGGGTGGCTAAGCTTCCCCGACGGTGGGGGGGGGGTTAGGGTTACTGCTCAACATCCAACTATAGCTATAAATTGCTGATGTAAACAAGACTTAACTTAAAGCTAGATAAATTTCAAAATAATTTAACCTAATCAGAACATTATATATATTTATTAAGTAAATGCATGGAGGAAATATATTACTTCCATGGTAAATGTAAGAAAAAATTAAGGGATCAAAAAACAATAGCCAAACGCATGGCAACATAATATTTTAAACGGTCAACTGTATGTCCCTTTTTAAAGAGTTCCGGCAAACGAGTGATCAATTTGAAGACCAATTGGAAGGCTAAAGGCAACATATTTCTCACCTCCTCTATGGTCTATCGACAATTCTGTATTAAGGATTACTTTACAACCTAAAGCACCAACTTACTTTACTTTAGTTAAAAATGTTATGTTTTAATATATTTGAATAATTTCAAGATGGATTTGTTTGACATGTTTAAAGCCTGTAAACATTAAGGTAAAAAGCAAGTTGTAGTTGGGATTTTACTCTTCTTTCCAAAAAAAAAATATAAAAATATCACATTTATATTGCAGGAATAAATGAAATGTGAAGAGAGTACTTAAAATATAAAGACTTACCCTCTAAAGGTCTTCATCCCTTCTAGAAGGTCATTTCTAACACTATCAGTCCCATGTCCAAGATTTTGAAGACTGATTGGTACCTGCTCTTCTTCTTCATCTCTACCAACATTTCTTGCTTGCTCTTCTCTTTCTGCTTCTTCATTATCACGTCTTTGTTGATTGAGTTCCGATAGAGTACAGCCAACTCTGGTGTAAAACCTCCCCACTAGGTCTTCCAAAGTCTGTTCAGAGTATGGAGAGTCAGAAATGAGTGTCACTGCATCTTCAACATCTATTATTCCCTTGTCTTCCAGCACTGCCATTGTTTGTTCCTCATCCAGCATGCCATCCAACTCGTCCCAGAAAGCAACCATGCGATCCTTCTCTTCATCCAAAAGGACATCTTCCGTTTGCGCAGTTTCTTTAGCATATTGTTCATCATCAATTGATTCATTTTCCTTTTCTTTTTTAACCATTGCAACAGCTTTCCTCAAATCCTGTACTCTACAGTCTGGTTTCACAAGACTTAAAAGAGCATATACTTTAGGACTAACATCTTCCTCACCAAAATTTGCAAGAGCACGACGCAAAATAACAAGCTGTTTAGTAGTGTAAATGTTCAATTGGTAGAAGTCTTCCCGCTTCTCATCAATGTAATCATACCATTGCTTCAAGCTTGCTTGCATAAAGTTGAGGAGCTCTTTCAAGTTGTCAGTCAGGTCTTTCTTACCAAAGAGAGGTTTTTGTTCAACAACACAGAAATCTACATGGACTGGTGTCTTGCTGTGTTTGTCACAGATTAGTCTAATTTTTAAGTCTGTAAAAAGTACGTTTCCAGATGTGCACATTTTTTTATAATACATTTCTAGATCTTGAGCTCCATCAAACACCTGAAAAAAGAATAAGGAATATGCTGAAGTTTAATACTTAGTCATAAAAGCACATTTTAATGTGATGAAATTTATACAGTATATCTCCTATGTACTTGTTAAACTGTATAATAGCAACCTTTACCAGGATTTTTAAAGGGGGGGGGGGAGCGGGGAGAGCCATTATGCAGGGTACGTAGGACCCAAGGGTCCAGGGCGAAGCCCCCTGGAAAGTAGCCCGCTCTGAAGATTTTTAGGATTGTTTTGAGCTGATATGGTGAAAATTGCAATAAACGGATTATAAATAATATTAGTAGGCCTAACAATAATTATATAAAACACAACAGTGGTGGATCCAGGAATTCAAAAGAGAGGTGACCCACGGGGAGGGACATACAGATTGAGGAACCACCTCAGCCCTACCATGGTTGGGGCTGAGGTAAGAAATTTTATGATTAGGGCACCTCTAGATGGCCGGAAATTACACTTTCCGACTTAAATTTGGATGGGGTGGGGGAATATATTTTTTCCATTAAAAAAATTTGGGGGAGGGGGGGCCATAAATTCACCAATGCTCAAAACATTCTTTATCAAAAATAGTTGTAATCCCAAAGAAATGGGCATGTAAAACCAGATCACATCCTAAAAACAAATTTATGCATTCTCCCCCCATCAGCAGCCACTAAGACATACTCTAAGTCAGGTGTCAACTCGATGGAGCTTAATGTCATACTCAGGAAGGGTGCAATCTGTTTTAAAAGGTGGGGGATGGACATTTCGTGAGTCGAAACCCACCTCAGACCCACCATGGTTGATGCTGAGTTGTGAAACTTTGAGGAAATAATACCTCTAGATGACCAGAAAATTACATTTTAAGTCACATCACCATTTTATAGTCAAAATGAAGCACCAACAAATTTTTCATGATATTTTATCTTATTAATATGTGCGATGTACAATAGAAAATAAAGGGTAAAAACATTGTTTTTGAGTATGTACTTTACATACTTCAAAGCCGTGAATTCACAACCACCTCAGCCCCACTATAGTTGGGGCTGAGGTGAGAAAATTTGAGCAAATAGTACCTCTAGAAGGCCGGAAATAGCAATTTTTATATAGTAAAATTTATCATTAATTTAGAACTGCAAAAATCAAGCAGTCTACTTTTTTCACTAGCTAGGTTTTAGAATACTCCAAGCATGATGAGAAAACAAATTACAACACACTAACTGTCAACCAACGACACTGCGAGAACTCGACATTGCGCTGCTGTGGACTTCACCACACTAACCTGTAAAACACGTCGGTCAAGATGGTGTACAATAAACATTGCCATAACAGAATCCACTAGACCTAGATCGATCAAATCTACCACCAAACCTTCCCGTCTATCTTTCCACCATTACTACGCAACCAAAATAGGCCTACTCCTGTGTTTAGTTTCTTTTATTCATCATACTTGTTATTTTCTCGCTCGCACTTTTTTTACACGAAAGGATCGGATCGAGAGCAAGCGAGAGCAGCAGAATGGATTGGCAAGTTAGCGCATGTGCAAAGCTGGGAGCGATTGATTAACTCCCCGGAAAGTGAAAAAAATCAAGTGGGTACGATGGGGAATAAATGATAATTGCGCAGAAATACGTACTTGACGTAAAATAAAAACTCCAGAAACGAAAAGTTCGACTAAATTCACCCCAGTTTAGTCATTTAGTGTAATTTTTTGCCCTATTGTTTATTTGTTATGATTTTTTAAAAATGTCTGCTCTTAAGGTAATTTGTATGCAAAAGAATAGGAATTTTGCTGGGTAAGTTTACCTATACCCCCACTTTCAAAAAAGTACTTATTTTCAAAAAAATCATGTAGCAAAAGAAAATTCAGAAAAATCCCGAAACATAGGTGAATCAATAGATTGATAACTATAATATATAATTAAATCAATACAAAATTTTTGCACGGAGCTGGCCTTTAATATCCAGGACATCTTAGGCCTAACTATAGCGTACTAAGCTAAAACTTGGTGAGTCGAATGACCAAGCAGTTTAGGGGCGCCGCAAGCTATAGCCATAATATCGGCGCTGGTTCGAACGGCACGCTCACCTATGGTTCTTGTGGTAGAACAAGTCTTCTCGGATAAGGACTATAAACCGTAGGCCCAGTGTATACAATGGCTCGTGTGCACTATAAAGAACCCTGTACATCCTTCGAGACGAGTAGGGGATACCCCGGTGTACTGGAACAGACAGCCCCTGTGGTGGATGACGGGAGTTGCTGGTACCAGTTTACCGGATAGCACAGACACAAAGGGACCCTTAGGGGCGAAGAAAGTCATTGATTGAGTTCCTAGTCCAAATATCAAGCGTCCTGAGCATCTTACATTAGATGGATATACGTGCTATATAAAACTACACTATTATAATTATTATTCTATAATAATTATGATCAACAAATCTCAACTTACTTTTTCAACTTCAGCACAATTTTCTTCACTTTTTAATATTATTAATATTATTTTCTATTATCACTATCGTCATCATCATTATCATCGTCGTCATCATCATAATTATTATTATTACTACTAGTAGTACTGTACAGTAGTATTAAAACAAACTTCATAGAGCTTGCAAAAGAATGATAACCAAACTGAACCATACAATATCACATTTCTGGATTTAAGATTTTTTTAAATCACGCTTAGGCTTGTGTTATTATAGTAGGCCTATGTAACATGTGCTGATGCATATTTACATAGTAAGAAGTATTCATTTTGAGTGATCACTGGAAAGAATTTGTATTGGCTAGCAAAAACAAGCTTAATTTTAACACTGTGTACAAGAAGGGGGGGGGGAGCCACGGCTCTCACAGCTCCCCCTCCTTGTATACAGTACGTCCCTGAACTTTACTTTGGAATACTTGTTAGTATCCAGAGGGAGACTGCTTTAACCCAGAAATACAAGAACAGTATTCAGAGGGGAAATTCTTTTATCTATTATTTATACTATCGTTTTGTTTTAGTTCCTGATGTCCTTGCTTTGCAAAATTATTTCTATTGGACATGACTTATGTGTTCAAAGTGCAATTAAAATGAATGCTGTATGTTACAATCAAACATCCAGATATATCCACTGCATTATTGGCTGGGAGGCAGACATAGGCTCAGTCATATCGATTAGGTGTGCAATCATACGAGAGGCAATGACGAGCAAATTGCAAAAAAATAAACACAGGGCGTATATAGGCGAGCTAGGGCAAGTCCATTACCTTCATTTATGCTCGAGAGGTAAGTTTCAAAGGAAAGTATTCACGAAATAGGCTAAATGATAATAAAACATAATCAGTTTAACTAACTTCTACAAAGCGATCAACTTCAGCCTTGGCGTCAGTGCTTTGGTGAGCCTTCCCAGCAACCAGCATCAGCTTACTCTGAAGATCTTTAAGTTGTTCAACTGTATAAATCTTCTCTTCACCATCTTCTACACGAACACGAAGTCTTAATGTTTGCTATTAGAAAAATTGGTATAAACAATTTAATAATAGTAGCAGATTTCTAAATAAAAACAAATATTTTGAAGTGGAAAATATCCTCATGTGAATTAATAACTTTTTATCCATTTAATACCACTCTCTTAATGTTAATCATTAATTTCAACAGCGAGTTGGCAACAAAAAGTAATAAACTGTCAACAAGGCAATGTCTTCCAGAAACCTAAAGCTGCTTTAAATGGTTCCAGGATGCGTATGTGTTGAGTAATTTTTTCTAGTAGTGATATAATAAACAAGAACATCATAATAAACGTAGTCTACAATTATTTTCATATTCAAAAATACCTCTTTTAATTTGCCAATTTCATAGATGCCTCTAGCATTAATTCTTTCTACTTGGCGTAATGAAGTCACTTCCACAGACCCATGGGAATCTTTGATGCCTTTCAACCATTCTATATAACGACTAGTGTCCTCCTAAGAGAGTAACATAAAAGAAATAAAACATAATTTTAATATGAAATGAATTCACTAAACATAATCAATTTCTTGATAATCATTGATTTTCTTGTGCACTGATGCCAAATTTAATTTTAAAAATTACTAAATATCAACCAGATATTTCCATTTTGTATGAAAAAAGCATTGAAGGATTTTAATATGTTCAAAAAGAAAACTAATGCAAAAAACAGTCCAATAATGGACTGTTCTTGGAATGAACTTTAGTACAAATATATGCTAAGTTTATGAATCACCAGTCAAGCATTTCTATAAAATGGCTACCAAGATTCGGCCACCAGCAATTTATATAGGTGATATATTGGGGAAGACATAGCTATAGTTCTGGTTTGAATATTAGAGCTTTAGTACCATGAAAGAAAAAGTATATGATTTATAGACATTTTTCTGGTTTACTGATAATAGTTAAACTTACAAGTTTCTTTGATAGCTTTGGATCATTTTTCAAAGCTGTCCATGTATGTTTGCAAATGGATATAAGATCGGTGTAGCCAGATTCTTCCGTCAGATCAAAAATGAAGGCAGCATAGCCTGTAGCAGCTTGGTGAAGGCAGGAGACTCTATCAACTTCAATGTCAGTTTCACCAGCTTGGATCATTGCAAGATCCACAAACACTTTTAACTCCTGCATATCTATCAAAAAAATATTGTAATACTACTCAAACCAAATCTTTCAAATCAAAAGTTTCTAGCAATATTGTTTAATTTTCAAACTATTAGCTTCGTTCAATTAATCCTTTGGATTTATTCGGTGTAAACACCAAGGATAGCCCATGAAAGTCTAGAATAAGACTTATTTCCAGTGGGGTCCTTCTGGTGGTGATTGGGCAGTACACCGGGAGACAATCCCCTACTCTTTTTCCGAAGAGTGTACTGCGTTCTTTAACGTGCACATGGGCCATAATGCACACGGGACCAATGGCTTAAACGTCTCATCTGAAAGACGGTGCGTTATTGTAACTTGTATTTCACCCCTCTAGCTTAAACCCAAGGAGAGGCAGCGATGGGAATTGAACCGGGACCTAGAGATCTCCACGGTTCAGCGCACACACAGCGGCTACCGCCAAATTAGCCGACTGAGCTAAGATACACACTTACTTTTGATTTCTTTTTTAATCCACAATATCAGTTTTTTACATTTCATCAAAGTTTTTAAACTTTTGCTTTGTTCCATGGTGACATGTACCAACTCACGACAGGCTTTGGCAACATCTGTATTCAAGTCTTTTAGACATTTGTTCTTGAAATCCCTCTTGTTCTAAAATCAATTAAATATAGATTTCACTTCACTTTATCTACTTGACATTATTAAGCAAACAATCAAAGATGTTATCTGTTGTCATGAATATGTATCAAAAACCTAAGGCAGCAGTTGTAGATAAACCTAGCATCTATGAAAAACAAAATTAACCTACTTGAGGCCATATTCAGACAAATAGAGCATAGAATATAATTGACTAATTTATGAATGGTCAAAGCAGAATGCAAGAGAAATAATAGAGGATACTTACTGTTGAACACAGGAACTCTATAGAGCTAAAGTCGCCTTGCAATTCAAATGTTGTTTGAATCTCTTGGATAGTTTCAGCAGTTTTTAAACACCTACCAAGTTGTCGATACAGACGGATTTGGTCAGAACGCTCTTTTATCCACATATCTGGAGAGTTGTCAATTCTGAAGATTTTTAAACTATTCTCTAAAGAATCGTCCTCGATAAATTGCAAGTTGTTGGTTACAGAATTCAATGTGATATTACCTACTATCAATTTACCACCAAATTCCTCCCACTCCTTCTTCACATTTTGCCAGATTTGCTTCTCGACATCATCTAATGTCATAAGTTTGTTGCTTTCTGCTCGCTGCTGTATAACTCTTTTGACCCTCCTTGCCCAGAAGTGTCGAAAAATTACACTTAAATGTATCCTTTGAATTTCGAGAAGCATTGCAGAAATTTCATCTGAGCATTTGTAGAATGTGATTTCTGGAGTACAACATGAAATCATTATCATCTGAACATCAGCTGGATTGCATAAATCTTTCAGTTGCAGTTTTTCCTTTTCCCTTTCCAAAGAGTTCTCGATTCCTTTGGTATCCACAGCTGGTGACTTCTTTCCATTGCTATCTTCTATTTTTGAATAAAATAGTCACATTTTAATTTCTTAATTTCTGAAATACATATAAATTAATTATCCTCAGGATTGTCACAATGAAATATAAGTTTATACAGTATTCAAGAAACAGCAACATGAGCAATATGTATCCATGAAAACACTTTAGAATAATTCTAAACTCACCATGGAATATTTCTCTACACATAGACAACATCACACCAACACGGAGATTAGCATCAAAGAAAGCATCCAATTCGGTTTCTCGATGTTTGATAACTTTCTTAACCAAGTTGCCAACATCCACATTTTCCAAGTTTCCTGGAAGATATTGCTTGGTGATTCTTGCAACATCCATTACTTCACAAAGTTTGAGAAACTGCTTCTTCTCTTGTTGAATGAAACCAAGGTCCTCAACCGTAACACAACCATTGCACAGACTGTTTAAGACGATATCTTCCATCACCGACTTAGCTTGTAGGAGCAGAGGTTGTGCTTTTTTAGTTAAGGCAATGCTGCTTTTACCCTTAACTATAAAAAAGTAAGAAAATTATTTGTTTTACTACTTAATGTATGTATATATATATATATATATATATATATATATATATACACATACATATAACATATTTGTTTAATATATATATATTATATATATATAGGCCTACAGCCACTGTCTAGACTCAACATCGTGGTATGTCAAGGTATGAAAATTAGTTTCTATTTTAACTTCTTAGTATACACTGCACAGTGGTTGCACATGTGCAATCACATGCAGAACCTCCCTGATCAGTATACTTACTGAGTAGGTTAGAATAGGCCTAGAATTTACGAATTTTTTACCTCAACATCGGAATGTAAGGTCAGAATATTTATTCAATAATTGAAATAATGTACATTATATTAAGTTTATACACATTTAATAAAATCCACAAAATAATTTAAAATGCAATTTTTAAAATGTTGAAGTTGTTAACTTTTCACGAACATGTTGCAATTTGTGGGAATTCCCCATTTAGTCCCTAGACCTATATTGCATTGTTATCGGCGAGTTTAGGCCTTGAAATACCGACAATTCTTGCTGTTTATTGTTCATTATCATCTTTAAAAAAGTTAAAATTAATTTTTGGTGTAATTTAGTGATTTATAATGACCAAAATCTCCTTTGTGAAACTGATTCAAGATTCACGATGATCAGATAGTAATGTATTCTACCGATCTTTTTTGAAACATAGAACATGTGACCTGTAAATTATTTGCGGCATAAAATTTTCTGGACCATTCGCGAAATTCGCAAAAGTTTAATGAGCGCAAAATTTTCTGGTTTTACAGTATCAGGGGCATAGCGGAAAAGAAATTAGGAGGTATTAGTTACTGGAGGAGGGGGCAGAGGGGTGGGGTTGTGAGGCGTTGCATCTCCAGTAAGATCATTTGTCACTAGTAGTAGCGCCTCCTACCACTACAGAACGGGGAAGATGCATGTGTTTCCAGGCTAACGTAAATATACCTCTAACTCTTAGCTAAATGATTCATGGCACACTCGTTATTTGACTGTTGCATATTCTTTCCACACCCCCTCCCATCTAGCAAACAGGATTCACCACTGTAGAGCTTATTTATCTAATAAAAGTCGAAAAAACAATAGAAACGATTCTGTGTTTTAGTCCAACTGCGCCAAATCTCCCAAGCCCTGGCTTACCTAACCTAGTATTCTTTTTGTGTACCTGGCCTACCTTATAGGCCTGCCCCCCCCCCCCCCGGCCTAACTACTGTAGGCCCCTGACCTACATGTAACTATCCAGGCCCCTGACCTAACTAGGCTGCTGGCCTAACTAGGCCCTTGACCTGCGGGCCTTGTAATGGTAATGGTAATGGTGGGATATTTGTAGTGCGCCTTCTACAAAAAAATCGTCTCAAGGCGCCGAAGAAAAGGTAGGACCATAAATTATAAAAAATAAAATAATAAATAAATAAATAAATAAAAAATATAGTTACATTATATCTTAAATTAATTAGTCTATATAAATCAGAATATTTTTTTTATATATATAAAAAGAAATAAATAAAGTAAATAAATGAATTAATAAGTTAACAAATATAAAATTAAATAAAAATAAATAAATAAATAAAAATAAGTAAAAAAAAGAAGCCTTCAAAACAGGCAGACCAGGGAAGGAAAAAACCAAACTGCAGCACGAAAAAGCGCACTCCTGTTGTTGAGACGGCGACACCACCACTACCGCGTACGCGCAGGTACTCCGGCAACATTATGCTGGGCTCCGGTAGCTTCCACCTTGGATAATCCTCGGCTCTACAACCGTGCACTGCTAAGGTGACAACGCCCGCTCAAGTAAGGGAGTTGCGACTTTAAGGAACACTTAAATACTCTAACACTCAAATTAAGTACTCTAGAACACTTAAAAACTCTAAAACTACAATTATTGTAAAAAGATAAACTTTTAAAAAGGTGGGTTTTTAATTTCTTCTAAAATGTATGAACGGAAGTTGCTTCACGAATAGAGGCTGGTAGGGTGTTCCAAACTCTTGGTGACTGTGCAGCAACAGAAAAAGCCCTATCACCGTAAGTTTTTAGTCGCGATGCTGGAACGGATAGTATGAATCTATTGGTCGTTGATTTCATAGACCTACTACAAGTTACAGAACGTGACGTTAGAAGTTGAGAAATGTATTCAGGTGTCTTGTTGTGCAGGGCTTTGTACATAATGAGCAGAATCTTGAATGTGATGCGCTTGTCAATTGGTAACCAGTGTAGATGATGGAGAACAGGTGAAATATGTTCACGCCTGGAAACTCCAGAGACTAAACGAGCTGCCGTGTTAAGGCATAGCTGTAGTTTATTTAGACGACAGGCGGGAAGACCATACAGAATTGCATTGCAATAATCTAGCCGTGATGTTATAAGTGCATGAACTAACTTCAGAAGAGCATTTTTTGTTAGGTACTGTACTTTTGAATATGCTTGATGTTGCGCAGATAGTACGAAACCAAATTACAAACGGTGTATATGTGTTTCTCCATCTTCATTATAGGATCAAAGACAACCCCTATATTACAGACTTTGGAAGATGGTAGGACATTGGTGTTACAAACTACAACACCATTAATCGGAGGTGGTCTTCTAAGGTGCACTGAATGAAAATAGAGTACTTCAGTCTTACAAGGATTAAAGAAGAGCATGTTTTGTGACAGCCAGGACTGAACATCACGAACACATGCTTCAATGGTTTTCTTGGCTTCAGACCAGTGGTTGACATGGAAGCTAAGATGTCTAGGCCCATAGCATCAATTCAGAATCTGAATGCCAATACGTCAACATTCAAATCTCTAATTAATTTTATACAACAGAAATCCATCGTTTACCGATTATATAACTGGGTATATTTATTGAAGAAGAAGCTCACATACAAAACAGTCTTTTGCAGCATCTGCTAATTTGAAAGACTGAGTAAAATTACAAGGATATAAAATTGGCAACTAAAAGTTTACAAATCATTATTAGAATATTGCAATATTAAATATGAAATAAATAGAAATACAATTGTTGACTTTAGAAATATACAAACATAAATCTTAAACACTGTAATAAAAGAAAACCGCTCTGTCAATGCACAGGAGTCATGTACGGCAAGGCGTCTCTGTGTCAATGCTTAGGCTGAAGAGATCACCGACCCCAGAGTCTCACTACTAAAGTGAGTTCAGGATTTTGGTCATATATGGTAACAGGCTATTTATAAATCGTGTTTTAATACTTTTATATTCTTTGTATGGTATATTTGTGCATAGTGTCATGGTGTGACATGCATTATTAGTTGGGAACCAGTTATGAAATCTATTAGATTTTGCAGTTTTTGTAGCAAAATTTGTATATAGTGAGACCCTGCGGTTGGCCAGTCTCTCCAGTCCAAGCTGCAAAAGGGAATCTCCATAATTAGTGAATTTATCAGCCAGAATGCACCGACAAACCCGAGTTTGGATGCGCTCAATCTCACTGCTTTTGTTGTTTAGTTAAGCCAGGGTACCACAGAGGCGCAGCGTGCTCAAGTACAGGCTGTACATAACTCCTGTAGATCGGCAGGAGTTCATCACCGTTAAAACCAGCTCTCCTCAATGACCACAAAATAAAAAGTTTACAATTGGCTCTGGCAATAATAGCATCAGTGTTACTTTACCACTTAAATTAATTATCAAAAACCACCCCCAATAACTTTAGTGGCTGAGCGGTAAGGCAGGGGCGCCGCTAACTACAGCCTTAACATCGGCGCTGGTTCCAGCCGCTCCTCGCCCATGGTTCGGTTGGTAGAACCAAGTCTTCTCGGATAAGGACTTAAAATGGAGGTTCAGTGTATACATCTGGCTCGTGTGCACTTTAAAGAACCCATTGCATCTTTAGGAAGAGTAGGGGGGTTACCCCGATGTTATGGTTCATTTCAGCCCCTGTCGTTGTGGAATGATGTGAAAATGTATCTACCAAGAAGCGCCTCTTTACGGCTGCTAGGTAGTCACGGACCACACCCATACGCAATTCAGCACAATGACGCTGCAAGTTATGGGTTATTCTCCTACCTTTACCTTTACAACAGGAAGAATTTAATTTGAGATATGGAGGCTGATGTCTGGAAGTTGTCGACGACCAAAGTTAAATCTAATCACCTGGCATTTGGAAATGTTAAGCTTAAGTTTATTATCCTTGGTCCAGCTGTAAAGGGTGTCGAGTACTGCTTGTAAATTACCAGTTTGACCAAATTTAGTTGTGTCACCTATTGTATGGTCATCAACATACTTTCTGGCATCATATATATTAAACAAATATTACCCTATTCTTCAACAAACAAAATATTGAAATCCTGTTAACCATTGCAAAGATAGGCTGTAGGGTATTAATAATTGCTAGAAGTATGAAGCATTGATGGTGTTATAAATTCAAATATATGTCCTTGTAATTGTATCGTGAGCTTAAGTAAGATAGGACCTCAGTGCAGTATGTAATCAGTAAGCAATTAACTTCTGTATAAAATGTCTAAAATTCATTATAAAATTAATAAGTTAGATTTGAAAACTGGCATTCAGATTCTGAATTGATAATAGGGGCCTAGGCCAGGGGCATAAGCCAAGGGCCCAGTTAGGCCAGGGGCCACAGGCCACATTTTTCAAACTAGAATTAAGCTTAAATTTGTCTTAAGTCCATATTTTTTTACCAATGTCAAATTTATCCATATTGCTTAGCTTCAAAATTGCTTAAAATTAGAAAGTCACATGTACATTGGCACCATCGAAGATGATTTTTTAGCTAAGATTTTGCTAAGATTGGGTAATAAATCAGCTTAAAATATTTATTTTTTTGACTTCAGACATTTGCTTAGCAGAGATTGATAAATCACGGGCCAGGCCTGTAAGGTAGGCCTAGGTGCACAAAAAATACTAGGTTAGAGGCCAGCGCCATTGGACTATTTTAAAACACAGAATCGTTTTACTGTTTTTTCAACTTATTAGATAAATAAGCTCTACAATGGTTGATCCTGTTTGCTGGAGGGGAGAGGGTGGGGAAAGACTAAATAAATCAGTACCCAAGGATGTCCCATGAATCATTTAGTTAAGAGATGCAAATCAGGGGAACTCCTTTACGTTAGCCTGGAAACACATGCATCTGCCCCTGTTCTGCAGTGGTAGGGGACGCTACTACTAGTGACTAAATGACTTTACTGGGGGATGTAATGCTTCACAACCCCACCACCTTTCTGGCCAAATCCCTCCCTATCCGTTCCGGTTACTATAGATTAAAAGGCGAAATACTGAAAAATAACAATGCTGTGGGAAAGAATGGCTGGATCTCGGTAGAGATATAAGTTTGATAAGCAACAGCTAAAAAGTAAAAGTAAGTAAACAGCCAGAAGTAGAACCAGAGCTTTCGGACAAGACTAGTCCTTCCTCAGTGGCGATTGAGTGAGGGTGGAAAAAGTCAGATAGTATAAAGTGAGGATTTCATGCAAGCATGATTAGAAACAACAGGCTAGGTGAGATGAGAACAAACAGCGTGAATAAGTGAGCAGGAAGGGTAAAACTAAACTTTCGAGGCACCCTTCTATAATTAAGCCAAATAATTTATATAGATAATTTTGGAAAGTCATTAGTTCAATTTAGTGTACTGGGAGAACGTTCCTAATATTGAGTCCAAATGGTGTGGTGGTTTTAAGTAAAAGTTCCCAGTGATTCTCTTTATCATTTTTGTAGAATCAAGCAAGGAGCATGTTTTGCATGATAAACCACAAAGATGACTGCCCAAATTATGGCTGTCGCAAGAGTTAGTTTGCCTCTTGAATTTAGATCCTACTAAGGCCAAAAAAAATAATAAAAATTTTCTGTCTCTGGTCAGACCGAAGATAAAAAATTGATGCGACGATGAGGTTTTTTTTTTTCTATTTTTTGAAAACCATGGAAAGTACAGAAAAGGTATTTTTAGTATTCTTTTTATGTTCTGTTAATGCTTTACATTGTTGTCCTTCCACAATTTCCTCGATTTCACTTCACTTGCCAAGGGGACCCGCGTCTTTATCATCATTATCAGCATTAATGGTTACGCTTTGAAAAAATCCGACGGGCGATGATCCCACCATAGCCGTGACTTTCTTCGATCACGGGAACAAATGTTGCTCCCCACTGCTTGAGGAGGACAAAGGACTTTCATCACATAGACCTACTTACACGCTTGGCAAACTCGCCGAACTACGGTATTGCACGATAAAATGCAAAAAGGTCCCTTATATTCCGGTGTATAAGCCGCACCCCTAATTAGGACGCGAAATATCACTATTTTTTAAGCTCCAAACCGTTCCCATAATTTTAATTTTTTATTTATTTTGAAACACTGACATTATTTACAAATATTCACATAAAGAAATTTCATCTTTTTCTATTGAAAAAGATGACAAACAACTGGAAATGCGTGTAAACTTCAGGCTACTGTAATGAAACAATGTATTCTTGCTCTAGCCTAGGGAAATCCCCATGATAGACAGTCGCACTATGTTAAAATTTCAACATCAGTTTAGTTTAATAAAATCTAAAAAAATAAAATACTTATTGAGCATATATATCTATTTTAAACAACCATTCTATTATTATGGTGACTAATAACAGTCGTATTAAGCTTAATATATTGGTAATTCTAGGCCTAAGTCATTACTACTCACAGCCTATTGTGCGAAGCATGCACTCATCACGCACCACGTTTTATAAACAAAAACAGAAGTGGAGAAATATTGTGCGATACAAAGTTTACGCATGCGCAGATGACGAATGCCTTTCTAAAGTCAAATTCAAGTAAATAATTATTACTACTTCAAGAAAACTTGTGTTTTTATAGCATAAATTAATTTCACAAGTTTTTATTCTGAAATTTTAGCGGATCATTCTCTCTATAACAGTACAAGCCACCGGGAACCCGGAACATCAAACAGCAGGTCTCAACAACCAGCCCACGTGTGCTTTGTTGCGACATTCGTAAATGAAGCTGCTCACATGACCCCAGGACCAAACTCGCGAAAAGTAGTTCGGTAGTTTTTGAAAGCGGTTTCGAACAGCAACAGCATGTTTCATAATTGTTTATGAATGAATGATTTAGACAACCCAAACCATTGCTTGAATGTCGTAGCATGCACTGTAGCGAGTATAATTACAAATACTAGGCCTACAAACCGGTCCCACCCTAAGCTAATTAATTGGGCTAGCAATGGCCTAACCTAGAATGGATAAGCCGCACCCCAAAATTCGGGATAGGTGGCGATGTTGTATGTCCGGTGAAAAATATAAAAAAATTGACGCGCTGGGTCTAAATCGACGCGCACGCTGACCAGAGACCGGTTATATATCACAAAAGGTTAGGTGATCTGCTATAGTCAAGAATAGTAAAATAGTCTGAAATAGATGCGTTTTGACATTTAACAGAGTTTTGAAGATGTTAAAACATTATGTGATGACTTGTCCCAAACTAAATGCTCCTTAATCTGTGTTTTTAAGTGTCTATTGGTCTCGCAAATATACACGAAATTACACCCTGCGCAAGTAAATTTGTAGAAAACACAGGCTCTGAGATTAGTTGGGACGTAGGATTTTAAATTAAAAAAAATTTATAATTGATGATTTGAAAGCAAGTTTGACAATAAACGTTGATTTATCGTTGAGAAATTTTTGTAATTGTGTATAGGGTAACTTGAAATAGGAAGGTTGTGTTTGCGGATTTGTATTTCAACACTCTTGTGTACTTATTACATCGCTATGAAACGGCCGTGGTTATCTTTCAAATTGTTGAGAGTATCTATAAGCATTTAACTTTGCTATCTTCTTGTTTCTCACAACAGAAATTTGAAGACTTGAACAAGATTATTTTAAATTCAAAGACAAACAAATTTACTATACCTAACATTTTGAAAAAACCAGCAAGCGGCTTCCATTGTAATAAATACTGAAGTGTCATGGCATCCTTATGGGTAAGTGATTTCTCAAGGAGATGGGAGAATATTTTGCCATATCTTTCAGCCTCGTATGGCAGCACATGATATCCATGAGAGACACTGTTAAAAAAAACCTCTCCAGTGCTGCCCTAAAATATGGAAAAATATAAATAACAATATAAATATTATTATTATATAAAATTTTATAAAATACTGTTAAATAAAATTTTATTAAATTTTTATTAAATATTATTATCATATATTATATATAATACTATGAATGGGGTGAAGAACCTTAATCAACTTGGATTCCCAATTGTTATTTTTCTTTCATTCTATTTTTTTCTTGTTGATAGTTAAAAAGCACAAAAGATGAAAAGGCACAAGACAACAATAACACAGCTGTATTGTTTAAAGCTGGCCTCCTAATTTACAGTTTAATTCTGTGTATTTTAATGATATACATTTATGTACAATTTTAATGTTCTTAGTGGTCAAATAAAATATATCTGGCAATGTATTTGTTAGTATTTTTTGTGGTTAACCTTGTTGCAAGTAGAAATAAGTTATAGTGTTAAGAACTGACCTCCATAACTTTATCTATAATACCAAATGCAGCTTCAGAAAAAACTGTCTCAATCATTGGATGGCATTTACTGAAGTCAGTATCACAATAAAATCTCACCAAATTTTCATCTTCATAGACTCTTTGAATTTTCTACAATCACAGAAAATGACTATCAGTAATTTTTTTCAAAAAGGTTATGTTGAGTATTTCGCAATGTATTGAAAAAAAAAACAATGAAGCAAAAAGAAAAGAAAGCATCATTCCTATTAATCTCTTGACGCAAAACACAAAAGAATAGCACTGTAGTATTTCACTGTTATTTGGGGATCAGATTCAACACTAGTCACTAAGCGCAAGCTCGGTGGTCTAGTGGTTAAGACACAAGGCTATTTATCTGAACACTCAGTAAAATAACACATCAGGTAGGACAAAAAACATTCCTATTAAACCTCCTGATGCAAAACAATAATATGTTAAATTTACATAGCGCTTAATGCCAACAAGGCCTCTAAGTGCTTCACATTACTACCCCCGGTCACTGGATTAAACGCCTATGGAACACAAAATGGGGTAGTACGCCATAACATTGCAGCAACTACATCAGCGCATTTTGGCATTTAACCCCACCAGTTACCCAATTATACTCCTGGGTGGAGAGAAGCAATGCAGATAAAGTGAAATGCACAGCGAGGGGATTGAAACCCTGACCGAGGTTGAGAAACCAAACCGTTCCCACTGTAGCAAACTATTTCTACATCTTACAATGTTATATCTAATAAACTGGCAAGAAAATCCATTGGGACCAAAAAAATAATGGTTTGTAAAACCAACAAAATAATTGTTATAACATAATCAACACCAAAATTCATAATCTACATATACAGTTTCAAATTTTACTGTTTACACACATGCACAAACACACACACATTAACATACATCAAGTCAGTTACAAAGCTTCCTATGCTGCTATGCATAGGAATCAAAACATGGTACAACATAACAACAAAGGTGGCAGTAGCACCAAAAACGAACAAAATTTGGAACTATTATGTGCCTTAATGAGGGAGAACTTTGGCAACAAACTATAATAACAATAACAACACTAGCAGAAATGAAAACTGTTATGGCAAAAACCTAAAGGACTTTCAACTGTTTTGACAGCAGCAACCAAAGCAACAGCAGCAAATTAGAATAGTAGTTTAAACAGTACAATACAACAAATATTAACATTTAATATATACCCATTGAATATTCTCTTGCAAGGATGAGCACAAGTCGGCAATCCATATTTGGGTGATTTCTTCATATGCAGAAACAATATTGAACATGTCATTCAAAAATCCCAGCTAAAAAAAAAAAATTAAAATGCAAGTTTCTTATACAGGACATCCATAGATAAATGAAATAGTATACAACTGACAGTGTTATATCTGCAATTACACATTGAAAATAAACTGTAAACATTCCAATAATGTATTAATGCCCCAAGTTTCTTCAGTACAGTAGTCATTTTTTTTGTATTTAATTGGCTGTTCCCAATTAATTCTTCAGCTATTCAATGTATTAAAATCTAATTACTTGTGCAACACATCAGATAAATTTTCAGAATGTTAAAAACAGTATATAAACTAAATACTGTAAATACATTGTCATAAGTATATTATGAGTCATTTTAAAAATTTTCTCAAATAGTAAATTATGGGATTATGAGTGGTGAGAAGGGAATATATTTGCCTATTGTCGTTTGTTCTTTGTGTTGGGGATCTTAATTGCATCTCATGTATTTTTTTTTTTTTTTTGCTTAACACTTCAGACAAAAATCTATTACTCTTGATAATTTTATGCATATTTTTTTGGTGAAACAGATTACATAGATCACAATAAAATTAGGTAAGTAATATAAATGCACATGATTGATCAAGGTGTGTTACATAAATATAATATATTTTTAACACTTCAACATAAAACACCTCTCTTTTTGAGAGTTGTGGTCTGAAGACTATTAGTATTCAATATAATTTAATTGCTATTCTAGTAAAATGTCTTACATTGAAATACATTTGCAAGGGTTCAATCATAAATAAACAGAAATATCAAACTACACCATCACAAAACTTTAAAAAAAATGTATATGGGATACAAATAAAACCCTGATATTATTATGGTGAACTTGTTGTAATACCAAGTAAAATATTTACCAATTGCTTAAATGACTTTTGATCAGACAACCTCTTCAAAAGCTTTTTCACAAACTGTCCAGTATCTTCCAGGCTATATTTTATTTGCTGCCTCCATTTCATTGCTGCATCAGTATTATTTTCACAGTGAGCGAAGCATCTATCTAAGCTTGCAACAAATAATTCTAGCAGCAAAGGGATCGTTAACATACTCAAATCTTGGATATATGATTTCCTTAGAAACAATTTAATTGAACCAAGAATAACAGTCATAGCTTTCAAATCCCGTTCAGCAAATTTGTCGTCAAGGCTGTAACATTATAACATAGATATATCATAGAATAAAAATATATCACAAAATAAAATTAAGTTGGAATATACACAATAATTTTCCAAATAAAAACAACCTGCATAAGCTAGATCAGGGTTGTAGCTCTATAAATCTAATGGTGATAACATTAGTAAACCCTAAATAATAAGTGTATTCTAGGATGGAAAAGTGGGTTAATATAATAAGAATGGGTGGAGGGCCATGAAATTAGCTTTAGCCTGAGTGGAAAACTTCACAGTTGGGTGGCCCCGCCCACCCACACCCACCATAACTATATCCCTGCTAGATATATTTTTTAAGTTGTACTAAATCATGATTATTAATATTCTGGTACATTTTAAGTAATAATATAATACAGAGAGACAATCTCCTACTTTTTCCAAAGAGTATATTGCATTCTTTAATGTGCACTTGGGCCATATAGCCTTGGTTCCAGCACTAATTTTGGGTTACTCACTTTATATTGCAATTAGTGCGTGCCATACCTAATTTAATTGGCGCCCCAATACTTAATTTCTTATCTTTTTCGGATTAAGGACTAGGCAAACACTGAATGACCATTCATGCATACAGTTTCCAACATCAAATTTGATGTGGGTTATCGTATGCACGAGCGATTTTGTAAATCAGGTGATTGGCTTTCATGCATATTAATTGATTTTGGTAAATTTTCAAAATTGAAGATGCACATGTCTCGACTAGGGCTAAGCTAGACCAGCTCCCTTCTGCCTACCTACTTGAATTAAAACAATTATTACCATACTCGCGCGAATAAGCGCCCCGTTTGAATAAGCGCCCCTCTCGAATAACAGCGCCTCCTAACGTGAAAATTTCCTTAAGCGCACCGTTTGAAGAAGCGCCCCCTCATAAGATTTTCATTTTAGCAAGTCAATAATCCAATCAATCCTGGGACTGTGGTTGTTGGCATGATTTGAGCTGTAGAGGGTAAACACATTCTTCTTCAGTCAATATCAAAATAAGGATATTTCTCTTGGACAGATGAGAGCTCCGATCCCTGGACAGACAGTATATTTCCAACTTTAATCTTTTTTACATATTTGTCTATGTCTAGTCCTATTCCTCTTTTTCTTTTTTCGACCTTAAGCACAATCTCATCTGAGTTTTCCAGAAAAATACAATGATCCTGTCATCCTGCTAATCTCAATCGGCCGATGGCAAACAAGCTAACCACCACCCACCACTTATTGCATCTGCTATTTTTCTGTTAAGTAAATATCCACGCATTCTTATTATGAGCCATGTTCTCTGGACGATTATCTTTTCTAACCACCATTCGTAATGTCCTTATATAATCTTTTTTCATTCAAAAAGTGCCTCTTAAATTTTTTATTAAAATAATTTCCCATAAGAACCCATCGATTTTCATCTATTTCCATAAGCATCCCCTCAATTTCCACTCTGTTTTCATAAGTGCCCCGTTTGAATAAGCGCCCCGTCTGAATAAGCGCCCCTCAGAAAGTGCAAAAAATATTTTAAGCGCCCGGGCTCTTATTCGCGCGAGTACAGTATATTAGTTCTGGACTGCTGAAAGACTATGGATTGATAACCGTAGTACTTGGATTTAAACCCTCCTCACTGCTAGCTACACAGATTTAGGCCTAGGGTAGAACATTGTTAAAAAGGTACAGTTACTGTAATAAGTAAAACCTTAAAAATAGGCTAAGCCTCCATCTATCAGTGGCGTATCTAGAAGTCATGAAATGGGGATGCTGATGGGGGAGTTTACAAAGGTGAAGTGGGGGTGGGGCTCAATGATCAGTTGAGGGGCACTAATTCGCAAAATAAGGGGATTTTAGGTGATTTTTAACTACCTGACTTTTTTTTTAGAAGGGGGAGAAAAGGCATGTGTGTCCCCTCCCCAAGATTTGCCACTGCTCTCTACTACTTGATTCCAGAGGCCTGGGCCATTCTCCTGAAAAGTGGTGTTGTGTTTGTAATGTATGCCATCTAACCTAAGCTTAATTAAAAATTTTTACCATTGCCCACTAGTCCTACCATGGAGGATTTTTAATTCCTCCATGGTTCTACTAGGGTCTATTCTAAATATTTTAGGAACGTTTTATTAGGGAGGACTATTTTTTTGCCATGCCTACCTAGTCGACGCAAGTGACTCAATTTTGTGGCTCCGAAAATGTGACCATTGTGGTTGGTCGAAATTGTTTATTTCAGTCTGCCCATTTATCCAAATATGGAATATAAGATTACGTCATTCTTCTGGCATCCCAGTACCTGCATTCAGTGTTTTACAAGTCGCTTAATCTAATCTAAATTAACTTTCTTGTCGGTGGCGCTGTCCAGAATAAGAAAAATAAATAACAAGGGAATTATGGCAAGTCTAATGGGCCATATTGCACATAGGACTAACAGCCTCAACATTTCAGAATCGATTATCAAAATAATTTTTTTTTTATCAATAGAAAACAATTACCTTTGACCATTGTTGATACTTTCATGTTGTATGTTTTGACGAACAGCATTAAGAATTGTCCAAAGTTCCTGATATTAGAATCAGAATGTGAATTTATCTATCCTCATGTAAATTAAACTGGTCTAAAATGTATACATTCTCATAGTTGCAAACAGAAATACTACTATATCGTACCTAATAATATTAATTACAATAGAAAAAAATGTTGTTTAATACAGTATAAGGACAAAACTAAAATGAATTCAGGAATTGTGGTCTTCTCCACACAGAGGAATATAGACATGAACATTCAGTAGTGGAAGAAGTCTATATTTCACTATCCATCCTAAAGTATAAATGGCAGAATTAAATACCAATTTACAAGCTACATTTAAAAAAAATAAAACAATATGTATCTATTGTTCTAATGAGGCCAAAAAAAAAATGATAGTGTTGGCCACCCCCGAACGACCCAAATTGTACAAAATTGAGGTCCGGCATTTTAGGTTTTTTTTCTTTTACAACGAAAAATAGTTTTTAAATGAGCTAAAAAGGCTGGAATAGGCATATGTTGCTGGACGGTAGGTAAAGTGTTATGTGATCATTTTGATCTTTAATATAGATGTATAAATGGTCTTTGTTGCAGGGTTCGTACGTTTTTTAACAAGCAAATTTTTAACAGGTCAAATTTTTCAAATTTCAAGGACCCATTATATCGCTTAACAGTAAAATATCGGCGATTTTACGATTGATTACAAAGCATTATGCTGTGCTAATTTTAAATGCATGTTAGTTGAGTGTATATTAAGTTTCTAACACTAATTCGGAGGTGATAGATCTGTCTCTTTTTCTCACGAGCAATTATGTGTTTCTCACACATGTAAAAATTTGTTGGTAAGCAAAGGAGTTCTCACGAGTACATGAAAGTATCGGTAAAGTAAGGCAGGGTGAACTGGAGTAGAATAATCTCCTCGGCACACAAAAATGTGCGTGTACAACAATGGTCTTATCTTATCGCTCAAACGGGTCAGTGCCTTTTGTGGTACCGGCGCGCCAAATAACTTGGTTCTTTTGTGGTGCCTGTCCAGGGTTGTTGTTCAGCGAATAACAACTGTCTCAGCTGTGACAAAGTTGACATAAGCATTCTATGGGTGTATGTTGCGAAGACGTTAGGTTTTAAACTATTTTATTAATTAATTGTATCCTCTACACATCATCATACTATTGTATTATTATTTGCTATTATTCATTACTATTGGGCCTATTATTATTGATATTAGGTCTATTATTGGGCCTAAAGAGAATGGGTGGGGCCTGTCATAATAATTACTATAGGCCTTAGTTATTAATGTTATCTCCGTATTTGTACATTTATAATGATGTAGGCCTACATAAACTTTTATAATCTACTATGCAACAAATGTTAACGTACAACAGGGTTCTAACCATCCTACCAACTGATAGGCTGCGGACGACCGGCTTTTTTCTTTTTTTGAAAGATTCTGTAAACTTTCGAAACATTAACGAAATACCTCGCTATAAAATTAAGGACTTTTAAATGTATACGCCCTTTAAACATGAACGCCATTCAGTGTAAGAAATTAACTGTAGAAGTACATGTTCCCATGGTTACGTTGTTAATTAACTGCCTTGCACTAGGTGCCTTGCACTAGATAGATAGAGCCAAACACGTTCATTCGTGCAGAGCAAGTGTGCACAGAGAGTGATGAAATACACAAAGCGAATTCACAGGGCTGAGCATGTGCGACATGAACTGTTGAACTGAAGTTTAATATTACTGTTTATAACACAAAACAGAAACCAAATAAAAACACTGTAGAAGATATCAACGAAGTTAATGATTATGATTATCAGTGTCTGAATTAAAATTACACGCACACATAATTAATATATGATTGGATTTATTTGGTGTAAACACCAAGGATAGCCCACGAAAGTCTAGAAGAAGACTTATTTCCAGTGGGGTCCTTCTGGTTGTAATTGGGTAGTACACCGGGAGACAATCCCCTACTCTTTTTTCCGAAGAGTGTACTGCTTTCTTTAATGCACTTGTTAACTGTAGTCCCGGCCCCTCCGGACCTGGGCCATAGTGGGGCAATAGCCTGGACTGAGCCGGGGATGTACACATACTTTTGCCCCCGTGGTGCCGGGACATACCTAAAATTTACCCATAGATGTAACAGGCCTCGGAAGGGCAGGGAATTTTACACGTAGTAGCCACGGTTTCGGGTGATTAGGCCTAGCCTAGGCTAGTGCTGTCAAACTGGGTCTGGTCCTACCTAGTCTACACTTGGCCTAGGCATTCAGTCAGCAACTATTGTGTTTTGATAATTTTAAAAAATCGCCTACCTGTACTTTCGGCCTACCATCATGGTTTCATTTTTTATAGATCATGGTATAAATTAATTAATAAAAATTGACGGAGGTGGCGGTGCGTGTGAGTGTGTTGTGTGAAAATCTGTGAATTGTGAATTTGACCTAGTTTTGCGTCTAAAATATGCCAGTACATGAGCCAAGGCAAGGAAATCTGTTTCTACTACACATGTATTCATTTTCTCATTTAGGCCTATTTCTGTTTTGATATTAAATAACTAATTCTATCAATCAGTTAAATCAATCAATCAATTATTTTCTTTTTCTATGATCAATTCCTTTTTTCTATACTTTTCCAAACTTCTATGGAAATCTGCTTAGTGATACGCATGCGTAGTGCTTCCATTAAGCAAGCTCATCTCCTTGGAATAGCTCCTGCCTACAGTAGCTCTCACATGCTTCTCCGATTCAGACCTAGGCTAGATCTTCAAGTAGGTCTTATCATCCAATCATTTATTAGCGGGGCATTTTACCAGGACTACGACGGTAAGTGGTGGGGACTTAGACGTGGATGTACATTAAAATTAGGCCCCACCTTGCCGGGACCTTCACATGCATGTAACCGTTTTGGAAATTACATCCCCGGCTAAGTCCCCGCTAGGCCTGGGTCCGGGGAGGCCAGGACTAAAATTGACAAGTGCATAAGGTACACATGGGCCATCATTGCACACTGGACCACGGCTTAAACGTCTCATCCGAAAGATGGTGCGCGATTATAACTTGTATTTCAGCCCTCCAGCTGAAATGCAAGGAAAGGCGGCATTGTGAATAGAACAGCACACACACAGTGGCTACCACCAGATTAGCTGACTGAGCTAAGCTGCTCTCTCATATACAAGATTAAAAAAGCACCACTTTACGAAAATATAGGCGAAAAACTCCATTCACTAAATCGCACAAGTTTTTCTGAACCACTGCCAGCCAGTCGGCCACTTTCAGCATTTGACATACCGTACTGTACTTTCTGTCTTTGATAACATTCCTGAATTGGCGGCGTACAAAGACTTGACCTGCTTTTCCTAAGAGTATCATGGGAACCTACTTGTGGGAACGTTTCTCATCTAATTTACTGTTTCTAGGCAATTTGCAGTACTGGATAAATGGTAAAATGATGAAATTTCCAGGACATTCAAGGACAATCATAAATTTTCAGGACTTTCCAGTACTGGAAAATGCTCATTTGTTTTTCCATGACATTCAAGAAATTTAAAGACGCGTACGAACCCTGTTGTTGTATTTTTGGGTATTTTCCGCTTTTTTAAACACATTATTCTTTAAAAAAAAAAACTTTTCCTACCAACCGTATTTTCCCAAAACGTGGCCAACACAAGAATTTTTTTTTTTTTTTTTTGGCCCAATGAAGCACACAAATCAATATCACAGGTATTATTATTACAGGTAATATCTCAATATATATCATTAATTTAAGAGTATAACAACTTGCCATCATTCTCAAGTTATACAAGCTCAATCTGATAATTTACCTGTATGTCAGAATCGTGCCAATATTTACTGATCTGGAAGATTATGCGTCCAATTGTACAACAAGTGATGTAAAAATCAAATTCAATTTTGCTAAACATTTCAGCCAGCTCCATAATTGACATTGAAGACAAAACTGTTCGCTGAAGTAGAAGGTCAACTTGGAAAAGTTGGGAAAGATCTCCCAAAAAGTTTGAAATTTGTCCTCTAAATAAAACCAGAATAATAAATTATATAGTTATTGATGGCTGAAATATCTTTAGTAAAACTATGACACTCAAACCTTAAAATAGTGACCTAGTTGATGTTAATTCATAAAATGTTACATTTAGGACAGAATTTATAAATGTAATGTGCCTAGCAAGATCTGTAATTCACAAAGACCTATCCAAATAATATGTTAGGTTTGTTTAAATCCAACCTGACAATTATGCACTGTACTAGGGCAATTGTCTCTTTCCACATAGGCATCTGGTATGTGTAAAAAGTACTGCAAACAGATTTTTTTCAATAAACTACAAATGATAATGTTGGTTTCTTGAAATGTAGTTAACTTTAACAAAAATGTCATCACCCCTGAACACTGTTAATATATCAATGTCAATATCAATACCAATCAATATCAATACCAATCATGTCTTCATACGAAAATACTTACATAGAATGCTCGGCGTGTTTTCTGGTTTCGTTCATCGCCAGTTCTTTATGTCCCCACCACACATCATCATTGTAATCATACTTGTCCAGCTTTGTAGGCCAGTCTATTGGTTTAGATTCACCACGCAGGAAATGTAAGAGAGGTACAACCAACATCCATGTGGCATCAATGTCTTTTACCATCGCCATGTTGCACCAAAACACAAGTGTTATAATCAGATCACTATTGAAAGAAATAAAAATTGGTTAGAAAAGCTAAAAATTTGTTTTATTTTACTACGAGGAGCATTCCCCACATCTCAATAATTTTTACTAAAAATTTCAACATCATGAATACTTCACTTATGTAATGTAATCATGGTTTACATACTTCAGGAATTTATGGTGATTTTAAAGCCTATTAAAATGGAATTGTACAACTCAGAGTTACAGATGCTTGCCTTCCAATCTCAAGGTCCTGGATTCAGGACAGCAGAAATTTTTTCTCAGGACTAAAAACAAATCTACTCAATACGTCTCATAAAGATACTTGTTTTATAAAGCATTGTTCCATAGTGAATTACTTGCTATAGAATCAAAATGAAATAAAAATAACTAATTGCTCTAAATCAGCGAAGATTTTTATACGATCATATATTTACACATATTATGCTAAAAACAAATTAAAAAAATCATTACACACCAATCTTTAATTAAGATAGTATAATACATACTCCAAGCATCGAAATGCACGCCATCGTGTCAGGATTCAATATTTCGACATTAATTATGTCATCATCATGAATGAAAAATTATCCATATTTGCAAGCTTATATGCACAAGTACCGAAAGCGTATTACCAATCAAAACATTACCTCTACTACAGTATGTGACATAGCTACACCAGATAGCTACACCATAGCAACACCAAATTTTCATCTACTAAAACGTTACCATCAAAGTATTGGTGTGAAGAACGTGACGATCAAGATAGGAGAATAACCAATAACTCGCAGCATTATTTATATGAAGCATAGTGGTACACATTGAGTAAGATCACAATGTATATGCCACAATATTTTTATTTAATAAAATGGAAATGAAGGTCTGTGTTTTACTGTTGTTCATCAATTTTAATAGACACTGCAAACAGTACAGTAGCTTATCATTCATTGAATTAAATATATCTATCGATTTACGGGAAAACATGGACAAATGTTGTGTACTTACTCAAGTATAGGTTTAAAAGCTTCCTGGAGTCTCTCCACAATATATGTGTATTCATCTTTGGTGAGAGACAAAGGGAGAGCCAATGCACGTAACAAAGTATGCCGAATTTTCCAATCAACGAAGATGACGTTGGATTTTCTAATAACATGCAATATAGCTAATGCTGATATCAATGCTTTAATGCTTGTATCAACATCCTTAGAAACATCTTTTTCTAGTTGCATGATCTTCCCTTCAAGAAACTGCAGAAGTACCTGTTGTAGAATAAATGACAGATAAAAATATTAAATGAAACCAAAGATGCAATATATTGCATCTATTTTTTTCTAATTGCTGATATTTTCTCTAATACTGATACCAATATTTAATTATTGTACCAACTTTACAAACACCTTTTTTGGCTGACTCCATTGCAGCATTTAAGAAAGCTGTTCAAACCTATCTATTTCCGATACATTAGGTTGTATGTAGGCATAGATGCCAAACTCCTCTACGGCACCTGTGAATATTGTCCAGACAGGCCTTGCACTTTAAATTTTAGGGGTACGGTGCGGAGGTGTTTGATTTATTTCTTTCATATTTGGGTTTGTCTTTGGTTAGCATATGGCTTGAGTCTGAATTATTTTTTCAATAGTATAACATTTAAAGTGCTCTGACCTTAATGAAACAGCGCAATATAAATGTCGCATTATTATTATTATTTTTCTAGTTGCATGATCTTCCTTTCAAGATAATGCAGATAATGACATACATAAACAATAAAATCAAACAAAAGTGGATGATAAATCTCTACTGCATATGCATAAATTATCAAAATCAAAGAAAAACACACGAACAATACACGTTTTGCAAAAATATTACCAGACCTACTAAAAATTGTATGACAAAACAACAACGTTATACTGCTTTCTCTGATTGCTTAAACAGAAGAAAGTTTTTTTAATGGTATACTACCTCATTTGCTGAATACCCTGTTGGGACCCAATGTCTGATCTCATACAAGTTTTCATTCTTAGTCCATGTTCCAGTCATGCCTTCAACAACTTGAAGAAACTTCTCAATGGCTTGGCAAGGTTCCATTGGTGTAAAGTTTTCACTCAAGAAGCCTTCCCAAGTAGGGAGATATGACAAAAGAGCAACCTTTTTATCTGCAACTATTCGTTCATCTCTATTTGATACTGAACGGTTACCAACCAACTTGTAGAACCATCCAGTAACTAGTGTAGTAATCGTTTTTGCCTCTGTATCTTTTTTCTCTTTCAATAGTTCATTAAGTCTGGGATGCTGTATCATATCATCATATTGATGCCAAACTCCTGTAATTAAATATTCATTATTGTTTTGACTTTAGATTAATTTGGGGAGTGGATATAACAACACAAGGGGATGAGAAAGAGTAAAAATGTCAAAAAATAAATTTAAAAAATAATATTTTATCACTAGAAAAAGTGAAGAAGAATTACTACTTTGATTGTTTAAACAAAGATTAGCAAAATTGAGTTCGAGTTGCCTAGTTTATAAAAGTACAAATCATTGGCACTGGTTGGATTTAGTGTGCATACATTTCAGTGGAATTTTTTCATTATTGGTACGGGCTGCTAGGAGATGAAACTAATAAGTACAGCGACATTCAGGAGACTGGTTAATCTGACACTGAAAATAAAATTGTTTTACTAGTTTTCCATTAAAAAAATACATGACAATTACTTTTCTGATTTTAGCAGCACTTTAATATTTACAAATATATTCCAACCTCAAAATTCTTGAAAGTAAAAAAAAAAAAAAGCTGTAAGGTACCTTTAGAGCAAGAAATTCCACTGTCTGAGGTCCACTTGATGGAGAGTTATTATATTTAGGGGTTTCTTTATTTAATTTGGTTCCAAATTACCATTTGTTTTAAGTTTAATGTTGTATCATCTGTGTTACCAGCAGTGATACAAAGAAAGAAATCAATTCAAAGTAGAATTATATAACGTTAAACTGTCTTTACCATTTCACAAAGCATCCTTTTTACAGGCTACCTTATACTGTACAACAAAATGATGTAGTTATTATTACTATAATTTTCAAGAATTTAGAGCAGTTTAAAGAAAAGTGGCAGTCTCTTGACAATTTTTCTGTCTTTGATTCAGAATACTGTAGAGAATCAACCCAGGCTTCAGTTTGGTTCTAAGCAGGGGCAGCACTGGTGGAGGTCCAGGGAGGGCAAAAGACCTCCGTCGACAGGGGGTCCCGGGAGGGCAGAAGACCTCTCTCAGCATGGGTCCCAAGTCTCCCCCCGAACTCTCGGAAGTCTCCCGGAAATCAGTATGGTCTCCCACAATCCTGCAAAAATCTCCCGGAAATTCACTTATCTCCCACAAATTCAGTAAAAACAAACCTTTTTGTTTTATTTAGGCCTAAACTTTGGTAGCCGATTATTTTTTGCAGTCTGACAGTGCCATTTCCAGGGTTCTAAAGGTACAGTATGTGATTACTCTAAAAAATGTCATCACCACAGCCCCAATCATGGTGGGCCTGAGGTGGGCGTGGCCCTTCGTTTGGTACATTGATTGAATCATTCTCAACCAGTGGATTATCTAAAATTCTTGGAATGGGGGTGCTGATGAGGGGGGAGGGGGAAG